CTACGGCGAAATGTCCCATTTCGTGGTGTATATTTATTAGGTGAATATTATAGATAAAAATAGGATATTAATAATATCACCGAGACACAGAACATTATTATTATAGATAGGTACTCGTGTTTCAATATTTAATCATTTTATACTAGTTCGTGAAGCATGAAGGAAGCTCTTCAAGAATTTCTACGGTGAGTTGTTGACTATTATAATTATATTAATTTTAATTAATTATAGTTCATATATTAATATGAGTTGTATAGATGTTTTCTTGATTTTATTACAAAGATAGTATTTATATGCAGTTGCGGCTCGTGCTAATGGTGCGATAGCAGTATAGCACTCCCTATGTAATTTTAAAATAAAAAGAAATTTGCAATTATATCTGTTATAGTAAATAGTAATAATTTAAGTTTACATTTTGTCAAAATAATTTAAATGATCAAAATATAGGTACCTACATTTTAAGGATGACAGTAATGTGCTAAACAGTTACCACCCGTTCTTGGTTTCTAGAAGGCAAATAGGTAACTAAAAAGTAGAAAATAAAAAACATGCTTTTCTTAATACTACTTAATACAAGAACGAAAAAGTTGAAAATAAACTTACTTTTAAAACCATTTCTTAATTAAACTTCAAGGTTATCAAAATATTACTAAAAGTGATTCTAAAATGTATTTGTTGCACAATTTTTAAAACTTGTGAATTACAAAAAACGAAATGCATGGGGCTCCTATGAGTCAAGAATATCTCTTTCAAAATTGGAAGTATGATTAATAATCTTTAAAATATTTATCATAAAGTTTATCTAATGATTCAGTCGTAGAGTGACTTTACATAGGAGTTATCATAAGTGCCCCATGCTTTTCGTATTTTGTAATTCACAAGTTTTAAAAAATTTGCAACAAATACATTTTAGAAACACTTTTAGTAATATCTTGATAATCTTGAAGTTTCATTAAGAAATTTTTTTAAAAGTAAGTTGATTTTCAACTTTTTCGTTCATGTATTAAGTATTATTAAGAAAAAAAGCATGTTTTTTTTAATTTTTAATTTTTATTTTATAAACATATAATACAACATTACAACTTACCTATCGTCGTTGGGCGAGCAATAGGTCGTATCTCAAAAAAGTAAAATGTTCAGGAGAGACAAAAACGTGAACACTGATAACATGTAATCAAGTTACGTCAAAATTACAATTAAGTCTTCAATCTCCTTGGAAATTATTATTATTAATATTAATATAATTATCAAATCATGTGTTATTTTTTCCCGCTTTTTTTATGTATAAATCGCAAAATCGATTTTTCTTGAGATACGACATATTACTCGCCCAACGACGCTATGTTATTTTAGTATTTTAGAATATTGTTTAGTTACAATTTTTGAATTGAACTTTACTGTCGTAAACGCAATAAAACAATATAACGTAATTGTATAAATAAAAACCAACGATAAATCATAAAAATAATTATCTGACAGATATTTAGAATAGCATTAAAGTTTAAAAGTCTTCCAATGATGATTTTTTTTTTTTTGTAAGACCTCTGTTGAAAAGTTAAAGTGCTATAAATATTTTATGGAAATATACAATCAATATTAAATTAAGCACGAGTATAAATTAATATAAGGTATAGGTACAATATAATGTACTATGGAAAATGTAGATAATAACTTTTTAATAGTAAGCATGAAAAGTATTGTCTACTTTTTCTAAAAACAAAAACGTTAGTTTAAAAATATTATCAAGTATGAACAATATCAATAATAATATTAATCTTTATTTTTGTTTCAAAAATAACTAACATTATTCGTTTTTAATCCTTACCTTGTATAATTAAAAATGTGCCTCATTTTAGTTTGAGTGAAATTATAGGTATTCATTACAACTCTAAAAAATAGACAGATAACAAAATTACACCATACCTACAACAATTATAATTTCATCAGAATATCATATTGACCTGATTAGAAAAGCAGTGTATTACTACCTACACCATTGATGGTATATCTTGAACTCATTCAGCAACTATACAAATTATCAGTTGCGTTTCATTAAAATGTCCTTTATATACTGAATAATCCATTCATGATTATATACTAATGATTCACACGAGAAACTCGATTTTATAACATAAATTATACAGTAAGAATTATAAAAAACCTCTATATGGATACATATTATTGAATATAAATTATTGAGTAATATGAATATCATGCAATACAAATTTCATAATAAATTATCTATTAATAAAATTAATTACATATTTCTTTATTTATTAAGGCACAGAGCCAATGCATATTGAGAATGTACATAAAATATTTTAATATTATAGTCAACAATTAATAACAGTATTATAATACGAGTATATAATAATATGAATATGAATATGAATAAGTTATAACAATATGGTGATAAAAATAAAGAATAAAATTATTCATAAATTTGGTTCGTCAATGGTGGTGGTAGCGTCCTTTGCGATGCTTGTGGATTCCGGTTTCCAAGTTCTTAACTTCTCCTAAACGGTGTTAATCGTTTGAAGGTTGTTAATGGAATGATTCCGAAGAATGTTCATCCTGCTTTGAAAATATGTCTTATGTATTCTGTTTCGAACCAGGTTCCTACCAGAAAGTTTGATGTTGTAAATAAGCGGCTTGTCAGTTACGTATAAGTTATTTAGTTACACAATTATATTGGACTGGATCTAAATCTTGGCGCTGTTGATGATGTTAGGCTAATATTTCTCAAGTTTTCGAAGGGTGATATCAACATTTTATTTTTTAATATTAGAGTGGATTTCGATATTTATTTTTTTATTCATGGCTAATATAAGAATATTTGATCAATTCTGTATTGTCTTATTGCTGACGAACCAGTATCTTCCTGTGATGTTTCTTTAAAACTTATCTTGAATGGCTTCTATTTTTCCAGTTTGTGATGGAAATGTTCGATGCCCAGATTGGTGATGTATTATAGCGGGATTGATCAAATAGAAATTGTGTATAAAGGTATGTGTTGGTTTGTAAGAGGAAAGTGATTTTGAAATTAAACAGCGGATATAATGAAAATTGTACGGCTTTTGCTTTGTTAGTGATGGATTTAATATACTTTGAAAAATTTAGATTTCTGTCTATCTGAAGTCTGGACGCCTAAATATTAGATAATATTTGAAAAGTTGACTTTTTGTTGTTTATAATAATTTATGTCAATTAAGGATTTGTTTGAAAATAGAATTGCATTTTAGACAAGTTTACTGTTATTTTCCATATAAGAAACCATGGTAGTTAGTGTTGCTAGAAGCGTACGATATGGTATCATCCGAAAATAGTGCAATTTCAAAACCTTGGTGAATTGGTATGTAATGTATGTAAATTATGAAGAAGAGAGATGACAAACACGATCCTTGGAGTACCCTAGCATGAATATTCCTGATAGTGGACTTTATTGAGTCTTTTTTGACTTGAAAGATTCGGTTAGATAAGAATAACATTGCCAAGTTTGTGAGGGGTAACTGCATTAGAATTAGTTTATAAATCAGACGCTCTTCGTCAAAAACTTTCTAGACGTAAAATAATGAATAATAATAAATGTTTATCCAGAAACCCACCTTTATACCTTTATACCTTTATAGTATATCATATACTATTATCCCGATATATATGTGGCTCTTAATTGGTACAGGGTTGTAATTATCCCAATTTTAAATCACATTCTTTTACCGTATTATCGATATCATTCGTGACGTTTTTCCTTGTCATATATTATTTTTGACAGCACACACTGGTTTTGGGCTTTCCGTTATTGAAAATAAGTTTCTCGTTCAATTGCAGTCCTCAACCAAGACAACTCTTAGTAAAAAGGTAGGCTTTACTGTAGTGATTGATACATGTTATGCTATCGAATTGTTGATAAAAACAAGGTTTTACAATTCATACTATTAAATAAACGAAAAAAGTTAGGTTTAAGCGCCCAAACGTTTCCATCCAATTGAATGAAAGAAGAAAATATGAAATAATGAGTGGGTAATTAGTTTTGCGGGAATTATAGAAAGAATTAAAATTGTACGATCATGGTGTATAGTTATTCAAAAAAGTATATATTTTCAACTTAAAAGTTATGAATCGTAATAAAATATAAACAAAAACTATGAAGTATACATTCATAAATTAGGAAGGAGGCAATATAATTTTTCATAAGAATTAGGTATTGACTACCTTCTTTTAAAAATATTATCTCATGGTACAAAAGATATCTTCATAAAAGGAAAAATTAATGACTAGGAAAAGATTTGTAAAAAAAAAAAGTTGTTTAAATCTTTCCAACCCAAGAGGAAAGTATTATGAATTTGAACGGAAACAATAATGCTTTATGATAGGTATTAATGAATAAAATGTAAAAATGACATTTTGATTTTCACACACATTGTATTATAGTTTTATTTCTTTAAAATACAATGATTGTTTGTCATTTCAAACGCATGCAACAATAACGAAATATAAATACAAAAATCGTTGACAGCAACGATTATAATATAATATCGGGTGACACCAGCTATTCGTTTGGTATTGATCGATGTAAACGGAGCAAACACAATACACTAATAATAATATGTCATATAAAATTAAACAATAATTGTAACAATAATAATAATAATACGTATCGGCGTACAGCGATAAGAAAGACAAGGCGGAGGACCGGTAACAGTGTATATAGTTTAACCACGACTATAATCGCTGGCGGGTGGCCAATCGCGATTAGTCGAAGCGAAATTACGTGAAAAATCTACGTGGGTTAAAACAATGTTTTTCTAGGTACCTACATTATTATTATTATTATTATTATCATTATTATTTACGTACCTACCCATATTATGCGTCAAGACACCGAAGGTCATAATAATAATATAAAACCGTCTAAAATCTATTACTCCGTGCGGCTGACGGTGTCGTGGGATTATATAATAATGATCGTTTGATTTCGGCGGTGGCGGCAACGTCTCTCGATGTCCTCGCATTACGCACACCGATTCCGCCGGAAGTTGGCTCTGGTTCCGGTGGTGAGTTGCCAAAAAACCGTTGACCGTTTTATCTAGCGACCCAACCGAGACACCTTGCACACATGACGTGCGCTGCTCACAGACGCAAGCACATACTCACATACGCACACACACCCACACACCCACACGCCGATACGAGTTTACACACACAGTATCGCACGTGGGAGATTTAGTGTCTCGTCGTCGTCATTCTTTCATACCTCCCCGCCCGAAGACTTACAAACGCCATAAAACCCGTTGCCAATAAATACACGCGCACTCACTCTGGCGCTGGGGGAGACGATGGCAGCAGGAGGGCTGCTGAGTCCGCAACCCCGCCGCCGTATAATGTGTTACGACGACAACGACAGCGATGGTTTTTGCTCGTATATATAATAGTCGTCGTCGTCGTAATAGTAATAGTAATAATAATAATAGTATAATATACACATGGCTTTGGCGTTTATATCGCATTCGATTTTAGCGCTGTGGCCCGATGGAATTTTCAATAGGATTTTAGCCCAAGCGTGTTGAATGTTGATGTATACATGAATGTATAAATGCACACACCACAGTCACACTCGTGCAAACCACACATTTCTGACATGTGTATATATATATATATATTATATTGAATCGGCGACGAATAATATGCTGCATCACGTGCCTCGAGGGTCGGCCGGTTATTTTATTATTTTTTCCTCTTTCTTTTTTTTTTTCTACCAGCCCCGAGAGGATTTAATGCAGCAATTACGAAATTACAAAAATAAAAAAATAATAATTGAATTTTTATGGCGTTTTTCCAAACTTCGGGTAAAAGCTAGCACTCGGGGATGTTGATCAGAAACTCCGCATTGTACTTACCGGTGAAGAATGTCTCGCTTTTAAAATAAGTGAACAAAACTTCACAATAATATTCTTTGGCGTCGCAATAAATAAAACAGTAATACAATAGTATGTGCTATACGTTATACGTAGGTATACCTACCTACTTGATTTTATATACTTCTACCTTAATCCTGCACTGTTTCCACTGTCTCTCGGATGATATCATCTAAAATCTTTATCTACATTAATCAAATATACTTTCTGTAAAAATAGTGTGCGAAATCGTATGACATCCATTTTATCCGGATATTATGTCGACGTCGCATTTCCAAGATCGTATTTTTCCCTTAAAAAATAATATTATTATATAATAATTAAATAACCAGTCGACCCGTCGCAGTGGGCATGGTATAAATTATAGACTTATCATTTGCAATACTATCACATAATATTATAATAGTTAAGTTTATTAAATTTCTACCAGCGCCGGCAGGGACCGTAATTGTTTATGTCCGGGCGAGTGTGATAGGTACCCGAAATAATTCTAGGCTGTACCAAAACAGAGTACAATATTATATTGTCGTTCAAATTATTATTACTATTATTATCGTACACGGGTTCGACGACGGACCTTCGCGTGAGTCTACGGGATAACGAAATCCCAATAATGGTATAAATATTATAATAATATAATTAACAGAGCGTCGTTGTCGTCGAAGCCGGGTCAGGGTCTCTTTCCCGAGCTCGTCTCCAGCAGTCGGTTCGGATATTGTATCACTTTCCGCCCTTGGTGGCCCTAATATCATTACGAAAGTTGCGCGCGCACTATTGTACTTTTGTTGGAATAACTATTTTACGCATACATAATATGAATTAATGTGAAATGTGTCTATGCGTACACAAGTTATCGTGTCTCGTATATATAATATTTTTGTATAATCAAGTTTGCACGGACGATAATCGAGAGCTTCGTTATAATTCCCGTTTTACCGATTTCGCTAATGTAATCGAGTCGTTTGAAAATCGAAGACAACGTGAATTGTCAAAATGAACTTAAAAAAAAAAAACTGTTAAATTGTTTTAATTTTTTGTCCAATTTGAAAATTACATTAGTGTTGCTATCGTATTAACTCGATTTTTTTTTACTATCTTGATTTCAAAGTTAACTTTGAATTTAATTTTATAGAGGTTTGAGAAATATTTCAGGGAAACCTTCTGTATGTGTAGATGTGCAGAGGTAGTATAAATAACTTACAATAACGAGAAAATACTAAGTTTTTTTAATAAAGAAATAACACGTTTCAATTCCCTGTGTACAACTGTGAATTAAATTTCTTATATAAGTTGTACGAATGCATTTCTTTGAACATATTATCTTCTGAAAGAAAATCTCCTTGGATGTAAGTACTTGACACTGCCTAGTAGAACGCTTTAAAACGGAACTAATTAAATTAAAAATTGACAGTATACAGCAAACATAAACTTATGCACGCTAAAGTAATTTTTTTTATAGGCAAAGAACATACAAGTGTTATTTATCAAATTGAACAAGATATATTTTAATAACATTTAATTATAACCTGTAGCCTGATACTAATACTTGACATATGTTTTCTCATCGTGTGAACTTCAGCAAACTATAAGCACTTAAACAAATTCATAGTGAGGATTTAAAAACCCTACTTATTATATACAAGAAATAAAAACTCTTAGGTACATATTCTCTCAAGAACCTAACTTTAGTTAAAATAATCATATAACTATCTAAAGTTGCCATACACTGTCTTATTTGTTCACTTTGGATAACATTTACATAAAATGTAATTGTAAATTATAGCCAATATTTTTGCATTGTGCTGTTCAAAACTAATGACCTAATGTACAGTTCAAATCTGTTAGTTTTATTAGTTTATAGGTATAAAAACAACTATTGGTTTCAGTAAAAATAAACAATAACATTTTTTTCGATCACTTTTTCTTATCAAAAATCCAAATTAAAATACTGATATTATCGTTCCTCCTTTATGTGTGTTTATTAAAACATTTCTCAAGAACTTTAAAAGTGTAATTTTATTACTAAATAGAATATTAAAATATCGTACGTAGGTATCCGGCAAATCATTATTCATGCTATTTGCATAAAAATAATGACAACCTATCTTGATACTTTTTATTTTTTAATGATGAATTTTACAAAAACATTATATTTATAATTTATCTTATAAACATAATGCGCACAAAATTTTTTTAAGCGTCAATATTTAATAGTTCCATTACTCATTTTTGTTGTTGTTTACATAGTTTGAATAAATTGTATTACATTTATAAATTGAAACTTGAGGAGTTTAATTACATTCCGTCTTCCAATGTTTCACTTTAAAATAAACATTGAATTTAAAAATTTCTCAGGCACTTATTTTGAGTTGATTTTATTGTTCAACTTGTTCAATATATTATTATCTATCAAATCTGAACTTATATATATTATAAATGTATATGTCATATATGAATATTAATTTAATGATCATAATTAAAATGAATATAAAATATATATAATTTGTATTTTAATACAAATAAGTACATTGCCTGGAGGTATTTTAAAGGTTATTCTACGAGTACCTATATATACATGTTGAGATAATACTCATGTCTGTCTCTCCCCAATAAGGCAGTTCACAGTATAGCTGTTAATACCCTAATTAAATGTTAATATTGGTTTTTGTAATATTACAAGAACATCCCCGTTAATTAAAAGTATTAATACAAAGATCAATTAATATTATTTTAGGTATCGTGGGTTCGACATCGAGGTATTCACTTGCTAACCGTGGGTCGGTACACGTATACTAGTGACCAAAGATTTCAAGCAATACATTCACCCCAGAACGAAGACTGGACACTACAAATACGGTATCCTCAAATAAGAGATAGTGGTTACTACGAGTGTCAAGTAGGCACAACGCCTCCAATCGGACATGCAATGGTTTTAACAGTCGTAGGTGAGTACCTAAACATTATTTAAATGTTTTTAATTTAATAATTTAATAATTTAATTTGAATGTTTTTTTTTTTTTTAATTTTACAAATAAATCATAATTTCCCCGTATTTTCATCCATAATCGTGAACACCGATCAGTAAGCACACTCAACAGGGCGCATCAAGGGGGGGGGGCAAAAGGAGCAGTTGCTCCAGGCGGCAGGGGCGGCCAAATATTTAAGGGAGACAAAAAAAAGTCGATAACGTCGTTTGTAATACAATAAAAATAAAATATATAGGTAGTAGAATAAATATTAATTATTACTTTTACGAATTTACGATGTCAATTTTCGGAATATCTAAAATCGTAGAGACCTTGTTTTCGTAATACCTAGTACCATTGATTTTAAATACTAATAATATTTATAATCAATGCCAGTACCTACGTACTAATCGAACTATTTTTAATATTATCACTATTCACTACATAATATATTGACATGTAATAGGCTACATAGCTGCCCGCATTCGATATTGCCCTGTACCATTATATTGCAGTGACTACTGAGACTCAGTAGCTTGTTATTCAATTATAGTAGGGATCAAAATGCAGGAAAATTTCGGAAAATATTAAAATAATACATTTCCGAAAAAAACCGAAGTTTTCGGAAAATTAAAAAAATAACCGAATTTTTTTTAAAATTAAAAACTTGTATTGAAGATTAAAAATTAAAACAATCTATGTAAAAAAAAAAACATTTTAAAAAATAGATAAGGAAACCTGTCATTGTTATTTCGCATTTACAGATACGGTTAAATCAATGTATTATTGGATTAAAATTTAAAACTAAATTATTAAAAATATAAATACGGATATTTCAATATTTGTTCTAAAAATAACGTAGTTACATATCAAATTGGTATTTATGTGGGAGGATGTATTTCCCCGAAAATAAATCACCTATATTTTTAAATGTTATATAGTCAATATTACTTGTAAGTTGTAGAAAATATATAGACAGTGCACGATTGACAAATGAGTAATGACAGTATTAATAAATAATTATTAGGAAAATATGTAACAACAAAACATCATTGGCGGAAATGCGGGATACGATAATAATATATTTTTATATTACTATAAATTATTTATTATTATTTTTTAAATTATTCAGGAAAAAAACTATTTTTTTCGTCAAAACTATTTTTTCCGAAAATTTTAAATAAAACCAAATTTTCCCAATTTTTCCAAAAAAACGAGGAGAATCCGGTTTTTTTTGGAAATTTTGATCCCTAGATTATAATATCTATTATATTCCTATCTATTTGTATCTATACTATTTATTTATACTATAGAAATAACAAAAGTTTTGAACTTGGTAAATTTTTAAGATAAAGTTAATGTTATATAATATTTAAAATTTTAAATATAGTGTACCTATTTCTTTAGTTGTTTATCATTACAATAGTTCATAGCTATATGTATAGAATATACCATATACCATGATATGTAGACATATTGTGAATGTAATAATTTATTAATATGTATAAATTGTATCTGGTTCATGTGTTTAAATAATATATTGTAAAAGACAATATCTAAGTGTAGCATGAATAGATAACTAATGAGTAGATAAGCATATAGTTTTTTGGTAAGTATATTGTATAATGTCTGTTCAAGCGTAGCGAGCAAATTTTTTTTTGTTACTTACTTTTAAAAAAAGACGTATACTGAATTAGGGGCGTCATATTTATGTTTGCTCACCCATACATTGTCCTTTAATACGGCTCTGAATGAGTCAGTTGCTAAATACTGTAGTATGATAGATAACTTGAACTATTAAATATTTCAAACAGTTTTATCCACAAAAAAAAAAATAAAAATGAACACAATAAAACAAAAAAATAGTTTTCTCTGCCAAATAGCAAGAATTTAGAAAATAGTCATTCTCACATTGGAAATTATATTTCGTGGTCAGTTATAAGGTATGTCTAATAACTATTGAGTTATCGTTTTATTGAATTTAAAAACGATTGTTGTCGCATTCTAAAAATGATTCTGAGTTGAATTGTTTTGAGAGTTAAAAAAAAAGAAAACAATAGCAACTTTGTAACTTTGATATTTGATGTGCAATCTACAACCAATTTCAAATCGAAAAATATAAGATATAAAACTTTTTTAGCACTTAAACTACACTAAAAAGTATTTTACCAAAAAAAATTACATTATTTGTAAAACCAGTAGCAACAAGGATCCACTTACAATCCAAAAACGTTAAAGTCACTTATGAAATATATTCCAATATAATACACTATATAATAATATTAAAAACATTTGATCTATTATCATATTAAGTACATCGTACATACCTACTACATATCTATTATATTTTTATAATTAAAACAAAGAATATAATCTGTCCATTTTAACTTTTACACATAACCCTTGTCGTTGTCTATCGATTGATCAGAACAAGTGCAGAGTTCTTCATCACATTTGGTGTTGAATTTATATATCTGGCTCACTCACTGAGACCTCCACTTACCCGCTTTTTTTATATTTTAATGTTAATTATAGTTGATATCTTATTTGAACTACTCTTGAATTTTCTTAGAAACAATACATTAAAAATACAATAGCATAGTCTAAGACTTGTCGTTATTTTGAGGAATAATTTACTATTTCTATTATGAATTTGATGTAAATACTAATTATTTGTAGCCATTAATAATTATTTTATTTGTACTAATTATCATATTATAAAAAAATTATAATAGGTAACAGTTGACAGCAGCCATAAGTAAAATTGAATATTATTACATAGTCAGGTTGAGTTTAGTATATATTGGGTGTACTTATATACATAGTACAATATTTTAGATTCTGAGATAAACGATGAATGTATTGATTTTACAATGATGTGGGTTTTTTTTATTTTATAAAAATCTTAAAAATACATGGACACAGTTTATTTTTATAGTCATTTTAAGTTCAAATTTGAACGAAATTACATTATAAAAAACCTAGAATAACTATTTTAGTTATTTTGTTGTGATTGTATAATATTATTCGTGGGTACTTGAAACTTCTAAAGTACACTATTGTATATCTATGATCAGGGTTTGTTGTTGATGTATAACGCGTTATAAGTACCTAATGGATATTGTGATATGATTTATTTGGAATTTATTATAGGTCAATTTTTTTAATACCATAGATAAGTATATAATATGTCTTATACCTAGACTGACATACCGTCTCCGCTCAGAATCGTTTTTCTTATACAATGATATTATATCATTGAATTCAAATTTAATACCATCCATTATACAGTGACCCACTTGTAACCTACTGTACAGCAGAGCACCTTTTTAAAATATTGTTTTATAATAATTTTTGATTAAAACATTTTATTAATTGCTATTTTGATCAAAATATCTAATTATTTTTTATACATATTTGTTAGTTAGCAAAATTTGAAATAAAAATAACTTTGAAAATTATGAATTTTGAGATCGATTATGATTTAAATAAATATTTTAGCAATTTGTATACTTTTTAGGCACAATAGGCACATATTAGGAACCAAGTACTTTATTTATTTAATATTTTTCCAATATACTTAATCACGGTCATATTGTCTTTGCTTCGTATTATATTTAAAACCAACCTAAATTATAAACCAAAAACCAAAATAATACTCAACATGCAATACCCGTGATGATGTAGGCAATATTTATACTTGGGTTACTCTGTACTTTGAGTTATATGAGTTTTACTGTATACTAAAACTAGTTAAATAATCTAGTTGAATTTAACTTTTCCTTAAAATTCTGAACAACAAATGTGGTAGAATTTTATAAGTTTCATAAATTTTTCCAAATTTGAGAATTAATAAGACTTCAACAGTTAAAATATAAATATCGTTTTTAGACTATAACATTTAAAGATCTGAAAACATAATACATTTTTCAATGCAAATTCTTTCAATTTTATTATGATATAAAAACATAAATTTTTTAAGAAAATTACTGACTGATAATATTTTCTCTATGTGGTTCATGCTGCGTTCGAGTTAGGTCCAAAAAAAAAAATATATATATACAACAACCGAATTGCTTCCTCGATTTATCGTCTGTAGTTTCGAGTTGCGTCTACGGTTTATCGGCTATTGGTCTGAGTTGTGTCCACAATAATTGTTTGCCGCTATAAATAATTGTGAACCATTTAGGTTTTATCACTGGGATGGTGGTATGCTTGAACCATTTCGATACCTTATCTACAGATATCACCGAACAATACAGCTAATATGGCTGAACATTCATTTTTTACGAAATAGCGACACTGTAACAGAGATATTTTTAGATATTTTAAGCTATTCGGATGTATTAAGTATATAATACAGGATGGATTCACTGATTCACGAAGCATGCTCATCCCTTTTTTTCTTCAATAATACAATAATTCAAAGTCTGACTTATGACATTTTAAAGGCCATATTATGGTACTTATTAAGTAATTTTAAATTTTTGACATTTATTGTACTACTTAAGGAGTAAGGAGAAACAAACTTCTGCTTTTAAAATTTGAACACCCCTTTTCCACTGTAAAAATTATACAGTTGATAATTTTTTTGAAAATGTTGACGTATTAGAATCAAAATTGGTATGCATAGTTTTTGTGTTATTTAACTTTGTGTTCTGATGATAAAAAGTCCATGGTGATTTAACAATTTTAGTCATTAATATTAATAATTTGTAAAACTAGCCCAAGTACAATAAATACTAGATCCAATTTTACGTCTATTTTATATTTTTATTAAACTATTTTTAAGGACTGTTATTCTTAGTACAAATATTTTAATAAGTAAGAAATAACTTATTTGAATTTAGAATTAACTACGACATTTTCAAAAAAAATGGCCCACTAAATAATGACGGTAAAAAATGGGAGTTCTCATTTGAAGAGCTTAAGTTTGTATCACTACAGGATACTCCGTAAGTAGTATTTAAAATCCAACA